AGCTGCTTCCACGATCTTGGCCTCCAGGGGCCGCCTCGTGGTCCCAAGGCCGCCGAGAGCACGCCCGCAAAACGATCCGCTTTATCTGTCTTCCCTCTTGGGCACACCATGTTCCCTGCATGACGCGCCTGTAGTACGGTGAGCGTTGTTTTTATTATGCGTTTGGACATTGGGCGGAGGGGGGGGGTCTGACTCTGGACCTCTGCTTGCTGCGACTGTTTGCAGCACTGGGTCCTATGATGGGGAGACCCCACCTGCTCGAAACGGGCGCCCCCAGAAGCCAAGATCCACTCCATGGGTGGGAGGGGGGGCTTTGGGACCCGCGCCGATCGGCAAAACAACGGATAAGAAAACGATCACCTGTAGTAAGGCAATCGTGCACGGCTTCTCGCGCGGACCCCTGGGGCCGGATACCGCTGCTGCCACAGGATGCGTTACATGACTCAACTAAAGACTGGTCTGTGTGTGAGTGCCCGCTCTAATGACGACGCTTCCGTGCGAAACGCAGACGGGGCCCCGCAAGTTTCGACCCCCTCCCCCAGGGCCAAGCCTTCATCCTGGGTCGTGATCTGAGAGGGCCCTGGGGCCCGGCGAGAGACATCAAGGGCAAGAACCACAACACTCTGAATGCCTGTATCGACACGCTAGAATCAGATCGGACATGCCCTCTTACAAGCGTATCTCGCAAAACACAAAAAAATACTATGTCAAACAGATTCAAACATACCGGAAAAGAGTCGAAAAATCGTCCTGGACCATTGCTTGACTATTGTTAGATTTTCCTCCTGTAGAGGGACATGCCCGATTTAACGCTGGAGAGCTGGGTCCACGGGAAGGGGCTTAGTGGGCCCTGGAAACGACAGGGCGTTTTTTTACAGGCTCCGTTTTGCAGCTTTTTGCCGGTTCCGGCGCCGTTTTTTTGCCGGTTCCGTCGCCGTTCTTTTACGGGTTCCCGCTCTGGTTCCAATCCTGGAGCCGTTTTTGTTGCCGCTTCCGGTCGCCGTTTTTTTGCCGTTTCCATTTTCAAGGGACACTTTTTCGGAAACGGTGCACAAACGGCCCTGCCGTTTCCGGGGCCCACTAAGCGCGGAAAGGGGTCGTGACCTCCAGGGCCCGACCACTCCCGACCGAGAGGGGGAGGGGGAGGGGGGGAAGGAGGAGGGGGAGGAGGAGGAGGAGGAGGAGGAGGAGGAGGAGGAGGAGGACGAGAAGGGGGAGGGGAATGGCAGGGCAGCTGGGCCGAGGGTGCCCCCGAGTGTCCGACGTGCTAGGTAGGCATGGCTCGGCGACCTCGGCCGCGTGCGGGCCCTGTGGACCGCGAGACTGTGGCTGACCCCAAAGGAGGTCCAGCTGAAAGGGGAGGGTGCCAAGGATTTGGGGCAATTGTACTGCACATGTGTTGCGCCAAAGAACTGTACTGCGTCGTATTGCAACTAAGGCATTGCACGCGGAAGACCCAGCAATAGATTTGCGAACTGGAACGTATTGCACGCCCCAAATCTATTGCAGCCCCACAAATCTATTGCACCACATCTATTGCACCACCCCCTTGTCGCTGGATCCCCCTTTTGGGTCAACCCGAGAGACAGGAACCGGGTCCTGAGAAAGGGATCCTAAACGGTTCTTCTCGGCATTGGTAATCAAACACTTCTACGAGTGCACATGGCCATCTCCGACATGGATGTCGAGGTGAATCTGTATAGTTGTCCTCCTCGAGCCGTTGTCGGCACCCTGGGACCGTCAAACAATTTGCCCTGAGGAAGTGGTCGAGATCCCCTGGGGCCGATGTCACAACACAAATGTAACGACGGAGGCGAGGGGAACGGTACCTGAGGGAAAGAGGTCATGGACAAGGTGGCTCTCCCCAGGGCCACGTCTTCGTTCCGAACCGATGTTCATCCCGAGTTATTGTTTGGCGGTCCTGAGTGTGAGTACCATGTGGGACCTACTCTAGAATAATAATATACCGTAGACGGATTTACCCTTTCTCCGACCTTGCAGCGCGCCAAACGCAACGGCGACGTTGTCCATAGACGTATCCACCCCGCAAGTGTCTACGGACGTCACGGCACCCAATGTGTCTATAGACGCTTTGGGCAAGGACGTGAGAAGGGCATTTGGCATCGGCCCCGAATGTTGGTCTTCTAGAAGCAGGTAGGCTTGGCCCTCCAAGTCCTGTGTCCGGATGCCGAAAACGACGAAACCCTGGCTGCCGTGACTCTTTTTGCGACGGCCGGATCTGGACATTCCCTCATGACGACCCATGGCCTCTGCCACGTGCACGGCCTTTTGTAGGGGCTTACATGCGAACCCTACCCCTACCCCCCACGATTTCTGAGCGGGAGGGTGGGGTTCACCTCGTTCGGGAGCTCTCGAGCGAAGTGAACCCCACCCTCCCCCTCAGAAACCGTGGGGGTAGGGTTCGCATGTAAGCCCCCTATTTTGGAAGACCGGGCGCCTGACTCGTCGGGCTCGGAGGTGCGAGTGGAAGCGAACACCGCCACCCCAAGCAGCGCAAGGGCCACCGCCCCCGGCAACTTCAGGCGGCGGCGCACATGCCCATTTCGCGGCATCGCCTGGCTGGCATAGAGGAAGGCAAGAGCAGTGGAGGTAACGGGAGGAGGGGGATGAGGAGAGAGAGGAAGGACGAGGAGGGGGCGGAGGAGGAGGACTAGGAGGACAATGAGGAGACAGGCCAACTCGGAGAAATGACGAAGGTGAGCAGGAGGGACGAAGAGGACGGGCAGGAACATGGAGGAGGAGGAGGAGGTGGAGGAGGTGGAGGAGGAGGACGAGGAAGAGGAGGCGGGAGGAGAATGAGCAGGAGGAGCGAGAAGATGAGGAGGGAGGAGCTAAAGATGGCGAGATGACAGAGGAGAAACATAGGGAGGACGACAAAAGGGGAACAAGAGAAACAGGAAGAGCACTGAGGGATGATGGGGTAAAGTCCAATGGGGAGGAGGGAAAGGAGGGGGCCGGAGGAACACGCCTCGTTCTGATTCGACGCATGGGCCCCCCTCCGTCTCGATTCGACTCTGCCCAGGGCGGGACCTTCATCTCGGCCCCGCCCTCCAAAACCCCACCGCGGCGACCAGCCGCACCGCTCCGTGGCTGCTTTCTCTGTGGCGCTGGACCTCTGAGCGGCAGGCCGCCGACCATCCGCGCGCGTGGCCCTGGCCTGAGCGGCATGGGGGGCTTAGTGGGCCCTGGAAACGACAGGGCCGTTTCTTTACCGGTTCCGTTTGGCCGTTTTGTTGCCAGTTCCGACGCCGTTTTTTTACCGGTTCCGTCGCCGTTTTGTGACCGGTTCCGGCTCCAGTTCCGATCCTGGAGCCGTTTTTTTGCCGTTTCCGGTCGCCTTTTTTTGCCGTTTCCATTTTCAATGGACACTTTTCTGGAAACGGTGAAAAAACGACCCTGCCGTTTCCGGGGCCCACAAAGGCAGGGGGGCCCGTATCACTGGCCGAAGAGCCCCCGAGGAGCCAAGGGCCCCCGGAGAGCCGAGAGAGGAGCCGCAAAAAGCGCCCTCGGCGCCGCCAGGATCGGCGCTCTCCCGCGAGCCCCGGGGGGCGCCCCCGGGCCGCCCCCCCACGGCCGGCGCCGCTGTGGAGCCCTCGGGGGGCCTCGCGCGGCTCTTCGGAGCCCCCACGGAGCACTGCAAGAGGACGCCGAGGTGGCCCCGAAGCGGCTCCACGATGGCCCCGCCGAGGGCCACGGACCCGTCGCCTGGAGGAGGAGAAGGAGGAGGAGGAGGAGGAGGAGGAGGAGGAGGAGGACGAGGAGGAGGAGGGGGAGGGGGAGAGGGAGGAGGAGGAGGAGGAGGAGGAGGAGGAGGTGCATCGGTGAGCGGCCCTCGACAAGGAGACCGGGCGGTCCTGGGGGGGCTGGGGTCCGGGGCCCCTGCCGCGGCAGACGCCGGGCCTCTTCTGGGGGTCGACGCGCCCCGCCTCGGACCTGCCCCCGGCGACGCTGCGATGGCCGCGCCCACCGGGCCCCATGGCTGGCGGATGCAGGGGGGGCCAGCCCACAGTCGGCGGTGGACAAACCGCCCTTTAGTAAACCTCCCCTCAATGACAACGGCCTGGGACCAAAACCGACGGACCTGGGCCCGCCAAAATGACGGCCGCGACGTCCTCTCGCGAACCGAAAACGGCCGATTCCGTAATCGACGTGTCAGGGTAGGAGGTCTGTCAACCTCCGACACAAGAAACCTTCCACAAGAACCCAGCCCCGAGACCCCGGGAAGTACCCGGATGCCTGGGGAGGGAGCGCTGCGCCTTCCAGGACCAAGCCGTCCGAGCCCAAGATCGGGAGCGGCCAAGAGGGGGGTGTCCAAGAGGGGGGGGTGCAAATCATGACCGGCGGCATGTGCGCGGCCCAGCGGGGGGGGCCAGGGACGTAATGAAATAAGAAGAGGCTTCATGAAATCTGGGGAAATATCATGGCCCCCGCCATGATATCCACCCCCCCCTAGTCATCACCCCCCTCTTTGCCGCCCCCGACGAGAAGCCCCGGGGCACCCTGGAGGCAAGCAGGGCGTCTCTCGGCATGGGCCTCCGCGCGGGGCAGGCGCTTCCGCCGGCCCCCCCGGGCCCTGGGCTCGCCCAGCCAACCTGGCGCCCCTGGGTGGGCCACTGGCGCCGCCCGGGCTCGGATGCATGAAGGCGCCATGGGACACACAAGTAAATACACACAAATAAAAGGATCCCCCAGATTTCCCCATGTTTTCTGGCTTTTCGTCTTCCCCCCCCACTTCCCATATGTTCCCATATTTTCCTGGGAGTCGACGATTCATTGTGTCTGTGTGTTTCTCTCTCTCCTGAATGCAGTCGCGCCGACCCTGCTAACCGCCGGCAGAAGAGGATCACGACGATGGCCCACGACCCCACCGCCGGAGGCGAGGCGCGGCCTTCCCGCCAGCTGCGCCGACCGTCGACCCAGCGATCCGCGAAGCTGAGAAACGAGTCGAAGCAAGAAGAACGCCGCGAAGGCAAGCGAGATCACGCCATCGCCGACGTAGAACTCTGCGAGCAGCTTTCAGGTTCGACATCGAGGGCCAAGAACTCCTTGACCCTGCAGGCCGCGACCGCCACCAGCATCCAAGCTCTTCCGATCGGAGAGGTCCCTCCGTAGCGGGCCCCGGAAACGACAAAGCCGTTTTTGTTACCGGTTCCGTTTTGCCGTTTTTTGGCCGGTTCCGACGCCAATTTGCCGGTTCCGTCGCCGTCCAATGACGGGTTTCCGCTCCGGTTCCACTCCCGGGGCCGTTTTTGCTGCCGTTTCCGGTCGCCGTTTTTTCCCGCTTCCATTTTCACGAGACACTTCTTCGGAAACGGTGAAAAAATTGGGCGCCCGAGTTATCCGGGGTAACTCGGGTCCGGGGTAACTCGGGTTTGGATTCCGGAAAATGGAACCCGAGTTAGCCCTGACCCGAGTTACCCCTGATGATTCGGGGCTCTGAAAAAACGGCCCTGCCGTTTCCAGGGCCCACTAAGGGCCCCTCCCCCGACGAGAGGCCGGCGCTCCTTTCGCGGGCGTCGAAGCCACCTTTCGCCCTGCACCCGCGGTCGCGCGCGAACTCGAGGAGCTCGTCGAAACCGCGATATCGCCGAGCAGTGCCTGGCCAGCCACGGCGTCGACCTCGGCGTAGGCGCCGACGCCCCCCGCCGCGAGGCGCGCCGGCATGGATAGATTGCTCTCGACGAGATCCTGAATGCACTTGGCCTGATATTCCGTTCGTATTTCGGAGGCCCCCTCGCCCTCGAGGGCCGGCTGCGCCGCGGCGGCGAGTCCTGGGAGGGAGCCGTCCCAGAGAACCCCGAGCTGGAATGTTGGCCATTGTCGCCATGCTAGACGCATGAGAAGGCCGTCCGCGCTCGAGATCCTGGATCTGCCGATGATCGTTCCAAATTTTTCTCGGCCGCCATCCTTAGGAAAAGGAGAAGTCGCCATAAACAAAAAGTTGTGGCGCTCCGCGCGGATTTCTTGGCTCTGCGCTGGACCCCCTCCCTGGCGCGCTCCGCGCGAATGCAAGAAAACTGCGCGGAGCGCCCAAAGTTTATGTCATTGCGTTTTTCTGTTTCGAAGCATGGCCTGCGGCATGCGTCCGCGCAACGACCCTTTTCCCCGCTATGGCGAGCCTCTTCTTGTGAGCGATTTCTTCTCCGGCGTTTCGACGTTGGGCGGAAGCGGACCTCTGCTTAGCGCGGCGGTTTGCAACAGGACGTCCACTACGGGGGAGACTCCACCCGCTCGAAGCACGCGCCAAACACAGCGAAACTCTACTCCATGGGGGAGAAGGGCGAGGAGGAGGAGGAGGAGGAGGAGGAGGAGGAGGAGGAGGAGGAGGAGGAGGAGGAGGAGGAGGGGGGGAGGGCGAGGGCCCGCGCCGATCGGCAAAGCACGGAGTAGAAAACGATCACCCTCTCGAGGTCGGTCTCCGTCCACCGTTCGAACCCTGGGCGGGGCGCGCCTCCTGTCCCAAGAGCCATCGCGGCCAAGCGTTCTGGCCGTCTCGAACTTGCGAGGCCCCCGCCGGGTGCGAGGGCGCTCCACGCCGGAGCGCCCCTCGACAAGCGCCGCCAGCACAGCGGTGGCCTCGTCCTCGTCCAAGTCCTGGGGCTCCAGCACAAGCGGGAAGGCCTCTGCATTATGCTTCAGGGCCCCACCTCGTCGCCCAAGTCGTCGTCGTAAAGCGTCGTGTCCTCCGCGCCATCTTTGTTGGACTGGCATGTCCTGAAAAGGGCCGGCGGAGGAGCGGGCAGAGCCTTCCTCTCGGCGACGTCGAACTCGATCAGAGCGGCACGGGTGGAGGAGAAGTCCTTGCGCCCGATCGCGATCATCGAGAGGTTTATCCTGTGTTCTGCTGCGTCAGAGCAGCACCCTCACCCAAGCATCGGTCGTTGACTGCGTCCACGAGCGTTGATTTGGGCGCCACGGCGGAGGACGAAGTCCTTTGGGTGTCACCCAGTCTGATCACGTAGTCAAGCAATCCTGAATTCTAGGTTCTTTTTCACGGTCCCCGTGACGTTCGCCGTTCAGCACGGCGATGTGTGAGAGCAACTTACTGATGGCGTCCTCGGCGTCCAGCATGGCTCGGATCACTCTGAAGCGCGTCTGGAGCTCAACCGGGCAAGCCTCTATCACATTCACCGCCTGCTGCGTCTCTGGAGACCCAATGTGAGCCGACCACGAAGAAGGGCGCTGGCGATACAGGCCGAGGCGCTCGGAATCCAACCAGGCTGGGGGTGTGCGAAGTCGCGGCTGCGATGTTGTACTATGGGCGAACCTACGGAACCCCACCGATCGTCCACCGATCGAACCCATCGCTCCAGTTCACTCCAGTCCCAGCTGCTTTGAGGTCCTTGGCCGTCGTTGCCCGTTTTGGTGCCCGCCCCTGCGGTCGTGCTGCCGGTGCTGCTGCTGCGCTGGCCTGGCCAGCGCCGTACCAGTCCACCAAGACGACCACCTCGTCGCTGATCCCTGGCAAGCGAGCACTCGGGGCCGTCCCTTGCCACAGGTCGGAATCCAGCTGTCACGGATCAAAACATGCATCTGCCGCCGTCGCCGGCGGCGCCGTGGGCGCGGCGCCCGGTGCCTAGGCCTCGTTGCCGCCCTTTCCCGCGGCTCCTCCATCTCTGTTCCGACCCTTTCCTTCTCCAACCATCGCTCCGTTTACTAACGGCTGGTGCTAGACGACATCAGGAGGATGAGTTTGTGACAGGAGAGCGGACGCCAGGGGAGATCTGGCAACGTCCCAGCGCGTCAGCGCCGTCTGAGCCACACCGGCTAAGCACGGGGAGAAGAGATGGGAAGACGATGAGGGAAGCTCGGAGGCGCTGGAGGACGAGGACGAGGAGGAGGAGGAGGAGGAGGAGGAGGAGGAGAGGAGGGAGGAAGGGATGGAGGAAGGGAGGAGGAGGAGAGAAGGGAGGAAGGGAGAAAGGGAGAAGGGAGGAGGAGGAGGAGGAGGAGGAGGAGGAGGAGGAGGAGGAGAGGAGGGAGGAGGAGGAGAGGAGGAGGAGGAGGGAGGAAGGGAGAGAGGAGGAGAGGGGGGAGGAGCAGGAGCAATCGAAAAGACGCCCACGTGCGCCCGCATTGGAACAGAACCGACCCTGGCGAGGATGCTGCCCTGCGCGGGAAGGGGAGTCGAAGGTCCTCCTCCTTGCCCTTGCCCTACTCATCGTCGTCCCCCTGCTCAACTCGAGGGCGGCGAATGGGGACGATCGACGAGGAGAGAGAGGTCGGGGGGGGGGGATCGAAATATTGGAGGCCGCCCAAGCTTCGCTGAAATAAACGCGGTCGGCAGATCACGACGCATCGCCGCGATGTGTCTCACGTGCACCGGCGGCGCCAGGCTGGAAACGAAGCCGGCCCCTGGATCACGCCGCACATCGCCGCTATTCGGACCCAACCTGGGTGATAGGTAAAGGAGACTTGAGGCGGAGGGGTGCACAGAGCGGTCGACGGCAAGAGACGTCGACATCGCATCGGGAGGAACAGGACCGGCCGCATCGGCACGAACTCGAGATCGACTCGGACATCGGTCGCGCCAGGATGCACAATAACGCGGTGCAGACACCGGGCCGCATCGGATCATCCGAAGATCGGAATGGATCGGGGATCTACTGACCCGGGTCAATCCAGATCCAGGTCAATCGGCCTTCGCAGGGTCCTGCAAGATCCTGCAGGATCCTGCAGTGCACCCCTGGCTCTGCAGGATCCTGCAAGACCTGGCGCTCTGGCCGACACCCGTTTGCCTTGACCCCCGTCTCTCGGGGGCGGCCAAGAGGGGGGCGTCCAAGAGGGGTGTGTGCAAATCATGGCCCGAGGCATGTGGGCGGCCCAGGGGGGGGGGGCAAGGGACGTAATGACATAAGAAGAGTGGCCATGAAAGCTGAGGAAGCATTATGGCCCAAGCCATGAAATCCCCTCCCCATAGCCTTCATCCCCCCCTTGGCTTTGGACGCCCGAAATGGGTACCGAAAAAAGGGGTACAATGCCCAACAGCAAGTGTCCCAAACCAACAGCGGCCGCTGTTGGGCAGGCGGCCCTCTGTCTCAAATGGACACAGGCCGCGGCGGCGTGGACAGCGAATCCTGTCCAAATTGAACAAGAACTGCTGTTGGGCATTGTACCCATTCTTTCAATACCCATTTCGGGCGTCCAGATTGGCCGCTCCCGAATCTCTTGAGCCCCGAATCGAGCCGGACCGGGCTGGTAGGCGTCGGCATCGCATCGGACCGATCGGATCGTCACGGCCCCTGCTTGGAGGGCACGGCGGCACGGCAGCAGGACTTTCTCTTGCGCCCTCGGGCCCAGGGCCCGGCCGCCGCCGCCACGGGCGCCGGCCGGGAGGGCACGTGCCGCGCGCAGCTGTGGCCCTGCCAGAAGCTGTCCCATGCCTGTGGCAAGCTCGTGTCCTGACGTGAGACGACGCCAGGGCGACGATGACAGTGCAGTGGGTGAGGATGAATCGAGAATCTCCGAGATCGGGGAGATCTGGAGGATGTCTCGGGCGCCACGGCCTTCCCAGAGCGTCCCAAAGCGTTCCGGAATGCTCTGAGAGCGTTCCTGAACGCTCTGGAACGGATATCCTGGTCCTGGGCTGGGACGGTGATGAAATGGTGTGAGGACACATCGAGGATCTCCGAGATACGGCGGGCCTGGTGTCCCGGGCGCCGCGGCCTTCTCTGAGCCGGAATGCTCTGGAACGGAATTATCCTCGTCCTACCCCCGTCTGGCATACCTATTGGAGGCCTGGAAATTGGCACCAACACCAACACAGGGGGTCGCCTCCACAGGGGGAAGATGATCCTGGATCTCGGTGTTGGTGGTAATAGTTCGGCCACCTTGGAAGCCAGAATGCTACCACCACCACCGAGATCGGGACCTGCTCCCCTCGTTGGAGGCACACCGCCGAAATTGGTGTTGGTGTCAACCTCTGCACCCTGCGGAATGCTTTAGAAATCATGGGTTAAGAAATTCACAGTCTCATAAAAACCCAGAGCGTCTACCCAAATCTTAGGATTTACATGGAAGCATTAAGAAAAAAAATCGAGACTCCGGCCGAAAACCTGGGCTTTCTTCTTAAGCATCGCCTAGAAGGTAGGCCTGCGAACCTACGGCAGATTCGTGCCGTGACGGCCCTGGCCTTGGAGGAGGAGGAGGAGGAGGAGGAGGAGGAGGAGGAGGAGGAGGAGGAGGAGGAGGAGGAGGAGGAGGAGGGGGAGGAGGACGCCGCTCGTACCGATCCGCCTCGAGCGGCCTCGGCTCTCCGGCAGCGCAAAAAGGCTCGACGCGGCCGATCCTCTAGGGCTCCCAACTTCGCGCTCTCGCGCTCCGCGAAGCGCGAAGCGCGAACAACTTCGCGCTCTCGCGCCGCCCCCCCCAAAGGGAGAAGAGGAGGACGAGGAGGAGGGGGAGGAGAAACGAGGACCGCGGAGCGCGAAGCGCGAATAACTTCGCGCCCTCGAGGGAGCCCTTGATCCTGGACCACCAGCGGCATTCCACCTCGAACGCCTCCGCCAGAGTCGCCCTGGTCGCGAGCCTGCAGTACAGGCAAGCTACTCTCAGGCCGGGCATGCTCCCCCCCAGGCGGATTTTGGGCGGCAGATCACGAGTAGCCAACAAAAACTCAGACATACAGAGAAATCGTCCCCGGAATATGGTTCCAAACTATTTTCGGATACTCCTCCTGTGGAGGGACATGCCCGACTTCGAGCTACTACCGCAAGGAACGCCGAAGGAGGAGCGAAGCCCCTCTTCGGCTCCAAGAGAGCGCCCGGGTGCACAGAAGGAGCGCTGGAGGAGCAATACCACGGAAGGGCGCGAGGAACCACGAGCCCCTTCCGATGCCAGGCGGCCGCTCACTTCAGCGACTTGACGGAGCAGAAGACTTTACAGCAGAAGCAGGAAGACTTTACAGTAGAATCAGGAAGACTTTACAGTAGAAGCAGGAAGACTAGAAGCAGGAACTTTGGGTAACAACAACGTGAAGCAGGAAGACTCTACAGTAGAAGCAGAGCGGATCCCCGCAGGCTCCCCGAGGACGGAGGCCGAGGGAAAACTTGGAGGCCTGGAGCTGGGCACCAACAGTACAGGGGGTTGCCTCCACAAGGGGGGAGATGTTCCTGGAGGATGGTGGTAATCTGGCGGCCACCTCAGAAGCCCGAACACTACTACCATCACCGAGATCGGGATCAGAGCCCATTGGTGGAGGCACACCGCCCATGTCGGTGTTGGTGTCAACCTCTAGGCCTAGAGTCAACCCGTATCATAAGGATGCGCGGTACGGATGCAAGGGCATCGGAGGCCCACGTGAACGTTTTCCGAACGAGGCTGGCCAGCGAAAGTCGTTAAGGATTGGCCGCAAGGGCAAGAATGCAGGGGCACCCTTGGAAGAATTGCCCATCCCTCCTGCGCGGGTGGACTGTCCGAAGACCCGCTCGATTCTTGAAGCACGAGGAGGAGGAGGAGGAGGAGGAGGAGGAGGAGGAGGAGGAGGAGGAGGAGGAGGAGGAGGAGGAGGCGGAGGAGGAGGAGGAGGAGGAGGAGGAGGAGGGGGAGGAGAAGGAGGAGGAGGAGGGGGAGGAGGAGGGGGAGGAGGAGGAGGAGGAGGAGGAGGAGGAGGAGGAGGAGGAGGAGAAGGAGGAGGAGGGGGAGGAGGAGGAGGAGGAGGAGGAGGAGGAGGAGGAGGAGGAGGAGGAGGAGGAGGAGGGCGTCCAAGCAGGTGGGGGCACTGGCTGCGGACGCAGCGCCGCCTCCCAGGTTCCTCTCAGTGCCCTGCCTGTCCAGGCCCCTGCGCGCCGCGTCCCCGAGCTTGGCCCGGGGCAGGGTGAGCCTTTTGGCGGCGCACAAAAGGGGGTGGGGGTAGGGGGGAGGGCTTCTTAGAGGCAGGCTGCGTCTCAGAGGGCGGCGGCCTTACATCTAGAGATGAGGCCCGCGCCTTCTGAGAAGCAGGGGTGCTTCTAAGGAGCCCTCCCCCCTCCCCCCACCCCCGTCTGCGCGTGGCTGAGCCTTGCCGCCGCCACCGCCGTCTCGAGGATCGGGTAAGTGGGCACTGGGAGACAGACAAGAAGAGCCAACGAACCATGACCCCCATTCCCCGAGGAGTACTTGCGTTTAGGGAGTCCTTCTTGTCCTCTACAAAAATGAGCCGGCTGGGCGGTCTGTTGAGCAGGGACCGACCTTCCCGGCATTCCTATAGGCCAACCACGACATGTTCTCAGAACCCAGACATGTCCTGAAAATCAGAGCAGTGTTTTTACAGCATGAGCACGATGCGAAAAGGCAAGACAGCCCCAGCCAGAAGTGCTCTACGAACAGCTTGTGCAGACCACAGAAAAAGGTTATGAGAAAATTCTTCGGTGGGCCTACAGGCACGCCAGAATCTAGGGCTCCCAACTTCGCGCTTCGCGCTGCGCGAAGCGCGAAGCGCGAATAACTTCGCGCTCTCGCGCCGCCCTCCCAAAGGGAGAATAGGAGGACGAGGAGGAGGGGGAGAAGGAACGAGGACCGCGAAGCGCGAAGCGCGAATAACTTCGCGCCCTCGAGGGAGCCCTTGCAGAATGTGGCCGCCGTCGCCGCCGCGCCGCCGCCTCGACGCCGCCCGTCGTCTGTGCCACCTGGGCGGTCCGGCGGACATCTGGTCGCCGACGCCGCTCGCCGCCTCTCCGCCGCCTCGTCGCCGCCCGTCATAGGCCAGCTGGGCGGTCTGGCGGCTGTGTGGCCGCCCCGTCGCCGCCTCGCCGCCGCGTCGCCGCCACCAATCGCCGCTATGCTCGGCGATGACGGGCGTCATGAAAGGGGGGGTGTTTTTGGCGGGGGGGTGGTAGGGCCTAACGACGCCCCCCCCCGTCGTGTACCTCCGGCACCACAGCCGCGCCCGCGCGCACGACGCGACGAGCGAAGAGAGACCACGACGACGACGACGACGCGGGCAGCATGTAGGTGGCGATCTGCCCCACTGCGCCTGTGTACACCACAACGCTCGCGTGCACCACAGTGCGCGTGTTCACCACAGCGCCTGCGTACACCGCAACCGCCGCGTGCAACGCAGCGCCTGTGTACACCACAGTGCTTGCGTTCACTGCAGCGCTTGTGCACGCCACAGCGCCTGTCTACACCACAGCACCCGCGTACAAGGCAGCGCTGGTGTACACCACAGTACCTGCGTGCATAGGACAGGTAGAAGGAGCATGTACGTGAGGATTTGTTGCGTACACCTAAACGCCACGCCAGGAACGTGCTGATAATCGAAGGCAACGTTTTTCCCTCCTCCCTCCTCCTCCACCTCCTCCTCCTCCTCCTCCTGTTCCTCCTCCTCTTTACCCCCTGTCGCGCGGGTTGGCGCTAGAACGCACGTGCGCATCTCAGCGTGCACCGCAGAATGGTCTATTGAATCGGTCCACTTGTTTTTGGACGGCCAACTTAGCTGGAGCCTCCTGGACACAAATGGGGGGAGTTAAGGTGATGCGGGCGGACTCGGGAGAACTCGTAGATTCCAGCGGCGCTCCTTTGTCCATAGAACTCCCTTCTATGATTTTCTCTGGAATCCACAAGCGCTCCATTTTGTCACAAGGATTCCTTCTAAAATTCTATACACAACACCGGTACACAGGCACTGCAATGCACGCAGGCATTGTGGTGTACACTGGTGCTGTGTTGCACACGGCTGATGTGGTGTACGCAGGCGCTGTACACAAGAGCTGTTGTGCCCGCAGGCACGGTGGCGCAAACTGACGATGTGTTGCATGCGGCTGCTGTGGTGTAGATCCGCGGCGTGGTGTACACAGGCGCTGTGGTGCACGCGGGCACTGTGGTGTACACAGGCGTTGTGGTGCAAATCGCCACCTACATGCTGGTGCGACCCGTCCTCCGTCATTCCTAAGCGTTCCCAGACGCCGCCGGCGCGAAACGTGACGCCATCGACCCCCTCCACCCCCCCCCCCGATGATTGCCGTCATCGGCCCAGACTAAAAAACAGTCTCCAGCCGCGTCCGCGCGCACGACGACGATGAGCGACGAGCGACGAGCCACGAGCGACGCCGACGACGACGACTGCGGAAGAGACACCTATAGGGATTCCTACGCGGACACCTAGGCGGATCCCAATGCCCACGGCGGCAGTGCCCGGAGCGCACTGGGTGGGGGGAGCGTTACGTCTTTGGGGGGGGCGGGAGCGGGGGCCATGACGCCCGTCATGTCGCAAGCAGTGAAGAAACGGGCTCTAGCTTGCGCGACTTTCAAATGATCCATTGGCTGATCCACGCATCTGCATATGTTTCTTCATAGTTCGATATATATATATATATATATATATATATGTACATAGATAATTATTGTATATATGGAGATAAAAATACATATATATATATATATATATATATATATATCTGTATGTATATATATATATGTGCACATACGAGAACCATGCGCGCGCTTCGCGCGCGCGCGTTCTAGCAAGCTCTAGTTGTAACCTGAACTGTTCGGCATGGGCGGTTATATATATATATATATATATATATATATATATACATATATATATTCCTCCTATAGTTTTATGAGCCCGGGCGGGGGGACCCCCCCCCAAAACCGGACTCCCGGGATCTGGGGCTTTGGGACCCTCCAGACGGGCCTCGAAGCGGCCACCGGGCCTCACGTGGCGTTTTGCCAAGCCTTCCCAGCACACCTAGGGCGATCAGGGGGGTCATCGGAGACGTCCCAGAGACCCCCAAGACAGCACAAGAGCGCTCCAAGAGTGACCGACGTGACCTCAAGATGGCCCAAGAGGCCTCCAGGACGGCCCCAAAGAGGCCTCTAAGAGCACCCCCAAGAGGGACCCTCGAGGCAAAAATCATTGATTTTCTGTGGATGTTTGGTGAATTTTAGGGTTATCCTCTTTTCGGCTTCCCGACGCTCCAAGACGGCGGTCGGCGGTCGTCTGGGCGTCCGAAGCCGCCTGGGAGGCTCCAAAATCGCCCCACAACCATCCGAAAGGGCTTCCAGGCAATCCAAGAGAGCCCCAAAACGGCACAACACGGGTCCAAGATGGCCCTCAGAGAGCCCCATGGCGGCCCAAGATGGCCCAAAGACACCCTCCGAAGAATTCCAAATCGTGATTCGGTCGTTCAGGGAGCCCGCGGTTGGAGGCAGGGTGGCCCGAGGAAGCCCCCGGAGGCCCCCAGAATACGCCCAGGAGGTATCCTGAAGGCCTCAAGAAAGCCTGAAACAACTTTTGTGAGGCCCCTAGAGGCTCTCCAAGGAGGAGCCTCCGCAAAAAAGAGCTGAGAAGGATGGGGAGAATGCGCAGGGTATGGCGAGCATAAGGGAAAAGAAGCATGGAGGAAGGATAACGAATAATATAATTATAGCGGCGATGCCAGAAAAGGCAACCAGGAGTTATCGCTAAATTGTCGGCTTGACCTTCCTGCTATTCCGCCTGCATGCCAAACTTCAAGGACCAAGGTGCATGGCGCGAAGCGCCATTGCAGTCTTGTATGTATATATATACAAGATTTTAAGGCTCGCTGCGCTTCGCCTTCTAATCTTGATCCTTGCACCTACGATGTTTCTGGGCGCGGGCGAGAACACAATTGTTCAATGAGGTGTGTGGGAATTGTGCGAGCGGAGGCGAGGCGAGGCGAGTGCGCGGTAGCGCCCGGGGCGGGGCTCAGGGCGCAGAGTTGGTGGACGCTGGAGTGGAGGTGAAGGTGGAAAGTCGGATGCCGGACGCTAGAGGTCGGAGTGCTGAGCTGATGGAGGCTGGAAGTCTATAGGTGGAAGTCCCACCAGCCCTTTAGGGCTACGGTGGTATAACGAGTTTGGTCTTCTCTCTTCCCCTTCCTTCCCCTGCTCGGGGGAGGGGTAACCTTCCCCTGGACCTGGAGGGGGGGGGGGATGGAGGCGTTAGAGCGTCCAAGATGGCTCAAGATGGCTCCAAGAGGCGCTCCAAGTCGCAAGATGGCCTCCAAGATGGCCCAAGATACCTCAAGATGGGTCAAGATAGCCTCCGACACACCTCCAAGAGTCCTCAAGACGGATCCACGTGCCCTTCGAGCCCTCCACGGCGCCCTCCAAGAAGCCAAAACCCTTCAAAAGCCTAAGGAAAGTCAATGTGTTTGGCATTCTCGTCTTTTCGCTTCCGATGGGCCCCTGAGGCATCAAGATGGCCCCAAGATGGCCCAAGAGAGCCCCAAGAGGGGCCCAAGAAGGCCCAAGACGGCCCCAAGATCGCCCAAGAGGCTTCCAAAGAGCGCTCCAACACGTCCCCAAGACGCCGTTTGAGAGCCTCCGAGGGGGGGACCTGAACTGAGGACCCCCGCTCTTTTTGAACAATGGGGCCCAAGACGGGCCCGAGAGGCCTCCCAGCCTCTCCTGAAGATTCTCCACCCCGCCCTTTTTGGCCCAAGATGGCTCCAAGAGAGCCCTAGATAGCCCAAGATGGCCTCCAAAATGGCCCAAGATAGCCAAGCATGGCTCAAGATAGAGCCTCCGACAGATCTCCAAGAGGCCTCAAGACAGCCTGAATATGGCCCAACATAGCCGAGCATGGCTCAGAATAGCTTCCGACAGCCTCTAGCCGAGCATGGCTCAGGATAGCCTCCAAGAGGCCTCGGGAAAGCTGGCAATCAATTCTGGACGGGCCGGTGGGGATACGCGAAGCGTCAAGAATTGAGAGGAAAGTCGGCGGCCGCATGCTGGAGGACGGGATGCTGACCTGGTAGAGGCTGGGAGTCCCGCGAGCGAAGCGGCAACACGATATTGAATGAGAGATGTGGCCGGCGCCTCGGCGAGAGCACGGGTCCCAGTGAAAGCTGTCTTCTGTTTCCGCCGTTTGCC